TTTTCTGTAGAAAAAGCATTTTGCCAAAAAATCCTGACAATGTGTATGTATGAATCTGGTTGATTTTCACATGTAAGTATGCACAAGAGCATTCACTGAACAACACAGTGGTTTGTCACACTGTTTAACCTCTCCATCTCAGCACTTCCATGGCCGTACTCCTGCACCTTAGCAATTCCTGGATGAAACACTCCTCACCACAGTGTTGCATGGCAGAACACCACCACTATTTCTGTTTTACAGATAAGCAACTGTGGCTCCTGTGGACTGCCACTCAGTCCCACAAAAGCCTAATATGAACCTCAGTGAATATTCAGAAAGCTTTAAACTAGAAAGCTGAACTACAGTTAAGTCCCAGATTGGCATCCACACCACCAGACTGTCTTTCCACCTGTGGTCTATTCGAAAGAGAGAGTAAGGAGCACACATCTCTGCAGCTCAACGTATTTGCTCATCATGACCAAGCAGGGGTTTTTAGACACACAGTGCTCTCAGGACCCATATTAAGGCTGTAGGACTGAGACTGTTTAATCGCTCTTGATAATATTTCTCAATACAGTTATCTTTATGGATAGTCTTTCCAACCCCTTCAAGCAGCAGTGCTGGAGAGTGACAACACTGATCTATGCCTGCAGCACCAGAATAGGGCACTGTGATTCTAAGCACGGCACACTGAAAACGCAGTGCTGAAGCAGCTTCTGTCTTTTTCCCCTCCCAACTGCAAGATCTTATTACACGCTCACAAGAGTTTCCGAAAGTAAAGTTGTACTGTCTTGCAAGGGAAATCAAATTAGCTAGAATTAGAATTGCACATTATAATGTGCTTTGCAATTAATAACTTACATAAAATGCCACAGCAATAAAATATCTGTTAAATGCAAGCCACATAGCAAATTAGATTTCATCTGTTCCTCACAAAAATTTACTTCAAAAAGCGCAAAGGATGACATAGAAGAGATCTATAAAAACAAATCAACCGGGAACGCAATTATTCAAAAATGTACTATTCAAAAGCAATAGCCTCTCTGTACTCCATTTTCCATTAACTCTTAATACCTTTATTGCCATTTAACACTTAGCTAATGCAAGCTCAACATACATTCATCGGTAAATTAAGTCAGAAATGTTCACACACCACCCATACAGCTAACAGTCCAATGTCACTCCTCAGGCTGCCCAAGGTTTCCTCAGCTCCAGAGCAGCAAGCATAAAAAGTAAACGGACTCTTTTTTTTCCCCATGAACATGCAGGCATATACTGTGATTTGAGCTGCTGCAGAGTCATACTGGTATTATGTGATAATACTGCGAGTACAGCCCTGGACTAATTGGGTAAAAATTACTCAGCCTGTGATATGCAAGTCAGAGAAGACTGACTGTTCTCTCTGAGTTTCAAACGTGTTTATTTAATATTTTATAACAAGCCGCACCTCAATTCGAATCACACTTGACCCCTCTGTTTGACAAACTGTGTTTACTGCAGGACCTGGTGATGCAAGGGACTAACATCATTTTTTGGATATTGCTTTGGTCTTCCATTATTATGGAAGGTCAAATTCTGGCTTCAGTTACAGATGTCACTCAATGCTGAAATTGAAGCCCATCACTTTCCACCTCCTGTGTAACTGTTATAGTGAGCGTTACCTTGTATGTGATACTGGTAGCTTTACATATGTGCATAACACAGGGGCAAAGCAGCCACACCAGGTGTAAAGCCAGGGGAAAACCAAGTTCTCTGGGGATAAAGACAATAGAAATATCAGTTGGGAAAAAAAAAGAACTTGAGTTCTCAGCAAAACAAGATGTGCGCGATTGCAACAGAAACACATGAGATCGAGTTGCTCTATCTCTCTGCAAACTAGGAGGCTGCCGCTTACTCACTACTTAAAATCCTTGACAAACACAAAGATTTCTTTATTCTTGCTCTAAGGCTCTGTTAATCCAAAGTATTCCAATAAGGAGCTGAAATGCACCACAGGGAGTAAGTGTTTTGATGAAATCACTGCAGGGTTACTTCTTGTTGTTGTAACAATCACTAGCAGAGCAGCGGGAAGCACAGCGAGCGACCAGGCCTCCTTGGCACAAACCAGTTTGGAGAAAAAGAAAGAGCAAGCCCACTGACACCCAGAAACCCATGGCTGCAACTGCACAGCACCTGTGTTGAATCGGGGAAGACAGCTGGCTCCTTCAGACACAGCACCATCCTCTGAATGCAAGCACAAACCGAGAGGGCCGTCTTGGGAATTGTTCTCAGGAGAGTCTGAACATCCAAAAACAGATTTGGCTGCCTTTTCCCTGAATTACTGTCCTGAATGCCTAGGCTCAACAAATGTCTGCTGCTATACTGATTACTGCAAGAAACAGTCTTCCCTTCGAAACTTCTCAACCTTGTAGCACAGTCAGAGGTCAACAGTAGGGAAAATACATGCTGTTCTGTGCGAAAAATAAATTCAGGAGAGTTACAGCTTCACAAGTCACCAGGGAAAAGGCTAACAATGAAGACTCTTCGTGGACTTGTCAGAAACCAATTTGCATTTCAGACTGAGGAGAGGAAATAATCTTAGAATTTTTTCCCATGTCTACAACCATCTAGTTTTCAGAGGTGACACTGCTCAGTAGGAAAATATAATCTCATGCAGAGAGGTGGAGACTGTAACTCTAAAAAAGACCAGGCTGTGGTTTCTTTATCCACTGCCACATTTGGAGACAGAGCCAGTGACATCTTCAGGTTCCCTGCAGTCTGCTGAGATACCTGCCTTAAAGACAGATGGCCACTAAGTCCTCTCAGCACGTTAATAGGTGAAAAAAATCACAGCAGCTCTTCACTTCCCTAAAAGTTTTTGAGATTGCACAGACAATACTGAAGTATGGACCCCCACTTAATAATAAGGGTATGAATCAATTTCCTCTATGCCAAGAGGTAAAGAGGGAGATTCAGCTGCTCAAAAGAGGTGAATCCCACCCTACACTTGTAACCCATGGTATCTGGGCTCTGTCCAAGCCAGCAGCTCGGTTTACCTCAACGTTAACCTCAAGCCCTCTGGTACTGACCACAAGCACTCTAAACCCCAAAGGCCATATGGCCTGGGGATACGTTTGGGCTGTCTCTAGGTTAGGACTGTCCCCTTACACCTCGCTAAAACCTCCACGAACAGCCCTCAAGCAGCAATCTCCGAGCTCCCACTGTCAGCTCCCACTCTTTCTGACTTCTCCTCTTTACTGTCTGTAGACACAAGCCAATTCTTCCACTCATCAGCTCCTGCAGGGCTTTGTTTTGTAAATAAGCAGAATAATAGGGACCTAGGACTGGGTCAGGCTGGAGGAGGACAGCTGTGAGAGTCAGATCTAAGCATAAGCCAGAGAGGTACATGGACGAAGCAGGAAAAGACAGGGCAAGTGCCAGTAACACAAGACCTGACATATGCTGCCGAACCAGTGTACTAAAGCACAGAAACAACTCATGTACACAGCATTCCCCATGCACGCCATTGCCTTGCGGGCTCAGCATAACACAGAATTTGCAACAGTCTCTTTTCCCCGGTAATCCTTCTCAGTAACCAGAAAGCCCTTGTGTTGTGACTAGTTATTCCCACAGCAAGTGTCAATCTATCCCATAACAAAAGCAAGTTAATGTTATTTTCTGTTTACAGAAATGCTCAGCAACCTCCTCCCTCCTCTTCCTTTTTTGCCCTGAGCAAGGCCCAGATCAGGCTCATCTCTGGTCCATGAGCCAGGCCAGCTCAGTCCTGGATCCTTCCTGTTGCCCCACTTGCAGCTCATTCTCTCACTTCAAATTTCTCCCATTCCAGCAGTTCCCACTGCCCAGCTGCAAGTGTAACTGCAAAACTAAATAATCACTCAGATTAGCCCCCTCCTTCCTTGCTTCCCTGCACCATCCGGCCTGCAAGTTTGCAGTCTGAGAGCTGGCACATGCAGAAAAAAAACACTCCAAGGACTGCTTTCCTCAGTGAAGTGTTGAAGAGTGGCCACCATAATCCTAAACAGAGCTGTACATTAAGCATTTCTGCTTCTGTTGATATACCCTGTACACTTGCTCACATGTACAAGCTGACATAGAGATGATGTGCTGGAAAGCAGGCCTGAGGAAAAGGACTTGGGGGTACTGGCGGATGAGAAGCTGGACATGAGCCACCAGTGTGAAACTGCAGCCCAGAAGGCCAACCGCATCCTGGGCTGCATCACAAGAAGTGTGGCCAGCAGATCGAGGGAGGTGATTCTGCTCCTCTATTCTCCTCTGGTGAGACCTCACCTGGAGTACTGTGTCCAGCTTTGGAGTCCCCAACACAAAAAGGACACTGAAGTGCTGGAGCGTGTGCAGAGGAGAGCCACAAAGATGATCAAAGGGCTGGAGCACCTCTCCTATGCAGGCAGGCTGAGAGAGTTGGGGTTGTTCAGCCTGGAGAAGAGAAGGCTCTGGGAGGACCTTATAGGAACCTTCCAGTACCTGAAAGGTGCCTATAAGAAATCTGGAGAAGAGCTGTTCACTGGGGCATGTAGTGATTGGACGAGGGGTAATGGTTTTAAACCAGAAAAGGGGAGATTTAGGTTGGATATTAGGAAAAAGTTCTTCAATATGAGCATGGTAGATCACTGGAACAGGTTGTCCAGAGAGGTGGTGGAGGCCCCATCCCTGGAGATATTCAAGGTCAGGCTTGACGGGGCTCTGAGCAACCTGATCTGGTAACATTGTCCCTGCTCACTGCAGGGGCATTGGACTGGATGATCTTTAAAGGTCCCTTCCAACCCAACACATTCTATGATTCTGTGATTCTAATGTCAACAAGCTATGATTGAGTAAATACAAAAAAATTATTATTTACCCTAAAGCCTGCATACACTTTCAGGGTACTTTACATTAATCATTATGAGAGGATTTCAGGAACAAATTCCTCATCTTTCCCATATGCTTTTTTAGCCGCCTGCTACGTGTGCACACACACATTACAGCAGCAGACATACGTAACTATAGCTTGCCATTTACTAAAACACCAAATGAATTCCCACCTTCCAAGGTCTTCTGATCCCTTTGAAAAAGTCAGGCATCCACATTGGAAGAACAACAGCTTCTCTTAATAATTTCTTGGCTTCTTCCAAATCCACTATGTCATCCCTGTGTGAGATGAAGAAATTTGTATAAGATTCTCGTACAACAATATTTCTTCTATTTGATACAAGAAAAATAGAGAAGTTTTTCACTCAGTACCATCTCTTTTAGCATGCCTCATGAGAGCACTCCTCTAATCCCATGACCTAAAACTGAACCCACTTTGGGTAGGTACGGAAAAAAAATTCAACTCAAGTTACCCACAGCTGCTTAATTAAAATTGTTTTGGACAATGTGAACACCAAAGCGGTACCTTTAAAGTTCTCTGGAGTGTACTTTCATTTCAGCAGTACCTGTAGTGGATGTACTGCACATATCAGTTGGCAACAAAAGCCTAACTGTAATCAAATTAATAAACTGTTTAAGCCAAAAGACTTTGTTTTGCTTATCTGTAGAAGATCATGATGGCTCCCACTTTTAAGAGTTAGAAGGAGGATAATTTCTGTCTTTCTCCACACTAGGAAAAACATTTGAATTGTGAAAATCCTCATACCAATGAATGTTCGGATTCCTTGAGACAATATCCCTTTCAAGAGCTTGGACCAAATCTTTGTTGTAACCCGCTTCATCAAATTTTGGAATTTCCCTTTCACTGAC